CAGCTTCTGCTGAGGTAAAAGGTGCAGCGTTTGGGACGGAGCCCTTGTCTATTTTGCTGTTTTAAACAGCACAGGGGTTGAGAGCTTGCAGGAGTGGGAGCAGAAGGAAATGAACAGATGGATCCACAAAATTAGAGATTTTTCTCAGTCTTCCTGTAATGTGACTGCCTCTATTAAAACCTAGTCATGCCCCCTTTCCCAAATATTTTAACTGCATTTTTTTATAACTCTCTTATTTTTATAAAGGCAGATTGTGCATTTGCTATTCAGGGCCAGCCCTGGGGTGTCTCTGAGCACTGACTTTGGAAGGACGAGGTTACGGAGGATGCCACGCCGCCATTAGCTACTTCACCCCCAGTGACGGGGACAGCTTGGGATCTGTGCTCCCAGGCCAATGGCTGTTCCTGCGGGTTCGCAGCCTCTCGTTTAGCAGCCGTTTATAACCTCCCTCCTCTTCCCCTAGAAGGAGGTGTTAGGCCCTTTTATATTTAGTGCTAAGTACATGCAAATTCCAATTAGAAAACACTATGAATATTCTAAGAGTATCAGACTGCCTGAAAGAGGAGAACCTCATGTAAAGAGTTGTGTTGGTGGGCTACCATTTTGTTGCTAGTGAGAGTTCAAAGCAATGCATCAGTTACTTGTTTTTGTCTGGGTTAGTTCACAAATAAATTCCCAAGACTGGTCACAAAGTCAGCATTTGCATGCAAAGAAAGAAATGTTTCTTCAGATCTACGTTAAAAGGCTTCTGCTGGTCAAATGCTTATAAGACTTTTTAAGCGTTTGCATTTTTTCATCAGAGTGCATACCGTTTTGTAAAGGTGTTGAAGCCTTCTTTGCACTTTAGGTTTTTCTTAGCCGAGTTATCCATAGCTCCATATGCTTTAGTCAACATTCACAGATTTATAAAGCCAACAGGCTGCTTTTGGAAATAACAATTGTGAAAGTATCTTACCGCACGGTTTCATACATGCTCCACTTTGTGCCGAATTGAACATGAGAGTTCTGTATACGTGTATGCAGCAAAGCTACTGGCTTGAAATCTTGCTTTTGTGAAGTATTTTGGTTTTTAAGAAGACTTGGAGCATTCAGTTGCTTTTTGAAGGACTGGTTGGTCTCTAACCTGTTCTTGAGCTTGTGCCAAGGCCTCAAGCAAAAGTCATTGATTTTTGAAACCAGGAGTCTTGAGCTTGGATTTTACAACTTCCAGTATATGTATATTGTCTGAATTATCATTATATATTTTTCTTTTACAGAGGTTTTTAAGAAGAATCTGATGGTGAGAATAGCTTAAGAAGACTCAGGATGACGACAACAGTAGCGACAGATTATGACAATATTGAAATCCAACAGCAGTACAGCGATGTCAACAACCGCTGGGATGTCGATGACTGGGACAATGAAAATAGTTCTGCTCGACTGTTTGAACGATCCCGCATCAAGGCCCTGGCTGGTAAGCACTGATCACGTGAGCAGAACTCCGCTGCTCTGTGTACGGGACAGTTTTTTTAATTAGAAGGTTGTTACACTGACTCTGTTTCTCACCTCATCAGTCTCATCAGATATTAACCATTTTGGCCATGTATTCATATTGTTTTGATTGGGTTTCTGTGATTAGCAATAATGTTTGTTTCCAGACTTTGAAAAAATCGTAAGGATAACAAAATTCTGCTTCAAAATGTCTTCATTTGGAGGGGTTCAAAACATCTCACCTGTCCTGAAATGGAGGAATGTGGTAGGTGGAGATAGTTGTCATTTCATAAATAATGCTGAAATTATAATTTTTTTCTGAAGAAACAGAGCATCTGAAACACAGGTTTTCTTCTGCTGAATTCCACTGTCGTCAGCAGAGAAATGAAATTTGATTGGGTCTTTTCTTTTGTCGGTGTTTAGAACATTTGATTATTGTGTATTAAAGGTTGTACATTAACCAAATTTGTTTATGCAGCAAGGAGATTATGTCATGTCCTCTCAGCTCTGAAGCATTGCCCTGCAAAGCAATTTTTATCCGTTCTGTAAATGATTTCCTGACTCTTATGGTAGCATGCCCACATTCCTGACCTCTGAACAAAATGCCTCAGTAGCGTGGGACATACTGTAAGCATGGAAATCAGCTCAAAATATGCTGAGCTTTCTGCTAGTGAAATTTTAGTTACAAGGACAGTTTTAAACCGAACACTTTAGAACGTGTTGAAGCAGGTTTATTAAATTAACTGTACTGAGGCAAAGGTATCATCTGTTTCATTTGTGATTCCAATGAGAGTGACTCTGGAGTGCAGCGTGCCCTTTCTCCTCTTGATGCCGACTGTTGGAGCGCGTTAGATGCAGAACACCTTTACGTGCCAGGCACAGGGCAGGATCAGGTTTGGAGCTGAGCGACAGGGAAATAAAATAGTTCGGGCAGGCAGAGAGCAGATCATATAACTCTTACTGAGAATAGTAATCGTATTGACTTAATGGAACTGCTCGCAGAAAGGAGGTGTCTTAAATTTTGCTATCTTTAGAAGACTTTTAATTACAGGAGTTCTCAGCACAGTGTGCATTTGAAGTGACAGGTAAAATGCCTGACCTGGACCAGCTGTGCTAAGTGGGGTCAGAAGCAGCCCGACTGATGCTGTGGTGGTAGATTGGTGGTAGGTGAGAAGAATCTTGATGGGCTTTTTTAGAGTTTGATCTTGTTTGAGGAAGAAGCTATTTTACTCCTGCCGCACTAGTGGTTGTAGGTTATACTGTATTCCTTGGGTGGGAAGTGCTTTTAGTACTAAGCTCGTTAGCTGCATTTGGGTCCCAGATCTAGCCTTTACTGCAGTTGGTTGTTCCACTTAGTTTTATGGCAAGCAGAGCTCCCCACCTGAGTAATGAATAATAAACGTGAAACTCTTATTTCAAGGAGAAGTAATGTAAGGAAAGTACTTGAATTATTTAGATAGCCTAAAACAAATACCAATGTCAAAGCAAATAATTTTGCTGAAGACTCAATTTGGAGGCATATTTAAACATTTTCCCAGAGTATGATGTATTTATTTTTTTTCTTAATAAGATTTACTCATTTTAATTTGATACATTTTATACCTGTAATTCTCTACTGTTAGTGTTGAGAGTGCTCTGTGCTGCCAAAACTTGACTTAGCATCCTGCGCTGCTGCAGCACTGCTTGAAAGCCTGATCATGATGCAGGGAGAGAGGAACGAAGAGAGGTTTGTATTGCAAATCAAAGGTTATAGTTAAAGGCTGAGCCATGGTACTCCTGGCACTGTCCAACGTATATTTTCGGATGTGCTGTCTGGTGGGTAATGTTCCTGTGCATCTCCCCAGAAAGGCACTTCCAAGTTTTTACTAGCTACAGCCTGGAGCTGGGATAGCAATAATCTGTCATGGTACTCTTTAAATTGAGACAGGCTCTTTCTGGAACGATGTGCTCTAATTCAGCTGCTTGTCACAGGATCAGACATGATAACTGTGTGAAAGCCTGCAGCTGGTAGTGCACACAAAGCCATGCTGGGTGATATCAGGAGAATCTTCTGGCTCCAGACCCCATAAATTTGTCTCTCTGTTGCACCATCACTTTCTCCTGGGTGAGTTTCACTGCTCTCTGAAGCAGAAGTAGTTGTGCTTCATTTGCAGGGCCTGGATTTACTGAATAATCCTCCAGTCTGACTTAGGTACTGGCTTTTTGCGGGCATGAGTATCTTCCCACGTCTCTAAGTTTGGCCATCTTCTGACAACAGCATTTTTTTACCCAGAGGTCCCAGGTTAGTTGTATCTGGACACTGCTTGTGGACGTCCAGCTCTTTCAGTATGTCTGCCTTTCGTTGAAGTTAGAAGGTAAATCAAAAGACTATCAATGTCTTGCAGTTTACAATATACACATGTATTGGTAGCTCCTTGGCCTGGTACAAAAGGTTTTAAAACAAACAGACCAGGCACTGGTTCTTTATTCCCCATCTATAAGATGCAAACTGTTGCGTTTGAAAGTAGGACAGCCGTAGGCATTTTACGCTGCCTGACTAATGGTTATATATTCAATGTGAATCTTTCTGCTGGTGCAAACATCTTCTGTCCACATTCTTCAACCAATTGTGAAGCGCCTCTTCTGTGAAGCTTCGGTCTTGTATTGATTCTAGTTTACTGTAATTCAAATGAAGCTTATTTCCTTTAAGGTAAAGAAAGGTAGAGAGTGAGTGGGTGAGAAGTGAGTTCTGTAGCCAGAGATCTGACAGCCTGTTCTAGAAAGAATCACAGTGGCCCCGTGTTCCAGCAGGATGCTGAAATATTTAAAGTGCAAAGCAGGAGGTGGTGCTCAGAATAATCTGTGATCAGAACAGACAATGTATTGGTGAAAAGCTCAGTTAAAGCCAGTATAGTAATAGTAGAAAAGCACTGTAGTCAGCACAGTAGATAATAACTGATGTTATTAAAGTGGTCTGTATACCTTGAAAACCGGAATGTGAAGGATTGTTTCAGTTTCAAACGAATAAATCATCTGGGAACTCAGCTTTCAATCAGAATCCAGATTTGAAGGGATATGCAACCAGATTGGTTGCCATTCATGTTGAACTAACTCACTCTGCAACTGATAGGAGAAGAAGGTAACTGATCTCTACTTCGTAAAGTAAGATATCCCACTGTAGGAAATCATCTTTCACCTGTCCTTGTTCTCTGTGGTTCTTTGGAAGGTCTTGCTGGAAGACCAGGTAATTCTACCTGCTCTGTAGAAGCCAAAAAGAGATCATGTTTGTGCAAAATTCTTCATTCACAAATCCTCAGGTGTTGGATTTCGTCTGTCGAGGACCATTAGCTAACAAGATTTGCAGTGCAGCACCTTGGTACTTAGATCTCTTCCTAAAGCCTTAAGAAACAGTTCAATTGTTTAGGAGAATTTTTCACACTCGGTCTAGGACTGTGACATTCAGATGTACCATGCTCGCTGTCTCAGATGCTGTTTTGAGTTAGTATGAGAATTGTCGCCTCCAAAACTTCTCATTTCTTCAGTTAGCTAATTGAATATTAAAAAAATGCTTGGCTAAAGTTACTCGCTTTTCTGCTCATTTGTATTTTGCCCTTTTGTCCTCAGACCCGAGTGACCAGAAAGTCTGTGACTCAGCTGTCTGGCGTATGAATTAAAAACAGTTTCAAAGTTTATGAAATAACAGAGGCATATCTTCTTTGCACAGGGCAGATGAAGCTGTGCATTCCTTTTTCAGCTCCACCTAAGTGACTGTACCTAGGTCAGGACACTTGCTAGTGTTGCACGTCACTGTTCATGAGCCTTACAGGGAAATACAGGCAAGGAGACCGCGTTTGTCGTGCAGCTTTCCTTAGTTGTCCCTCTTGCACAAAGAGAAACTAGGCTTGAAATTCATGCTAATAACTTAAATTCTCCCAGAAGCAAAAGGGGAAAATCATTGAAATTGTTACTGAAGTTATACTATTGAAAAGTTTTTCTTTTTACTATAGCAGAAAACCCGTTTCTTAAGGATAAAAGATACAATGAGAAAGTGCTGGCTACCATATGTGGGGCTAGGCCCTGATATTTGAGCGATTCCCCCCACAGCTCCAATGCAAAAAGGCAGCAGAATCACCCCCCAAAAGAGTGAAAAGAAAGATCCAGCTTGTAGTACTCTTCAGGTATCAGGCACCTGCTTGCCCCTGCTGTCCAGCGTCTCTCCCATAGCTAGCAAGTTTCTACTGCTTCAGTCTGAGTATACACTGAAGATGGAAAAAATGTGCACAGTCAGAATGAAGTTTCAGGTCTCAAGTCAATAAAAAAGGATAAAATACAACGATTTCGAGCTTAAGAGAATATTTGAAAGAGCATACTGAGGATAATCTCTTGCAGTACATTTCATGAGTATCCAGTACCTTGGGCTATCTGGGACTTGAAAATCAGTCCACTAATTTTAATGCAAATGTTTTTTTCGGTAGTGTATTGATGCTTGTAAGTCAGGTTTGAAGGGCATGTGAAGGATTCACTTGATGTTAAACAGAAATAAAAACCTTACAGCAGTGAAACTGCAGATGCATCTTCTCAGCACTGGCATGGCAGTGCTGGTTGTTAGCCCATGTTCTTGTTTAGCGGCCAAAGGCCTAATGCGGACTTACTAAGGTGAGCACGAAAGGGCTTATTTTGAAAAACCTTATTTTGCTCAGATAAAAGCTGATGGAATTATTTCAACAAAAGCTTTTCCAAATGTCGGCCTCGCCCAATGCTTTCCGTTTGAATTTTGCTTCTGGAACAGTTTCTCGGCTGTAGTTTCTAAGCTGCAGTACTTAACCAGAATCTGTGGGAGGCTGCTGTTAAAAGCAGGAGTATCATTTTGTGTGTTCTGTGTCATGCAGGCATCAAGGGAGAGAGCACGGCAGCAGAGAAGCTGCTGTCCTTATGCGTGTCACCTGCAGTGCTGGCTGTGACTACTGATGAACACTGTGCTCTTACCATAAAACAAGAAAAAGC